CCCCTGCCCTCCCTTCAACCCCTCTACCCCTCACTATTACAAAGACTTTATTTCCATTATTTTTCATTTTCTCATATTAATTCCATTTCCTTCTTTCCTTTCTTCTACCCCTCCCATTTCCTCTTCCTCTTTGTCCCTTTTCTTCCTATTTCACATTATCTATTATACCTTTTAGTCCTCATTTACACTTTCCATTTCTCACACTAGAGCAACTATTTGGTATTTACATGTGTCCTATTTATGTTACTTAAGAGTATCAACGCAATGTACATCCATTTAGCTATGTCACTAGTTTCTCATTCTTTATGGCCGAGTAGTACTCCATTTTATTTTAAAAAAACCCACACACATTTTCTTTATCCAGTCTCCTGTTGATGGGCATTTGAGCTGCTTCCAAATTTTAGCTATTACAAATTGTGCTGCTATGAACATGGGTGCACATATATCACTGTAGTATTATTCTTTTAATTCTTTAGGCAAGATATCTAGCAGGGGAATAGCTGGGTCAAATGGGACCTTCAATCCTAGTTCTTTGAGGTATCTCCGTACTGATTTTCATAGTGGTTGCACAGGCCTACACTCCCACCAGAAGTGGAGCAGGGTTCCCCTTTCCCCACAGCCCTGCCAGCATTTGTTATTGGTTGATTTCATGATAGCAGCCATTTTTTCTGGGGTGAGGTGGAATCTCAGCATTGTTTTCATTTGCATTTCTTGAACTACCTACCAGTGATGTTGAACAGTTTTTCTTTTATTTATTTGGTATTTCTATTTCTTTGAGAAATGTCTGTTCATTTCAAATAACCATTTTTTAATTGGGTCTTTAAATTTGGGAGGTCTGTTTTTTTTTAAGTTCTCTATTCTAGATAGTAGCCCTTTGTCTGAGGAACAGCTGCTGAAATTTTTTTTCCCACTTTGTGGGTTGTCTCTTCACATTGTTTGTAGTTTCTCTTGCTGTTCAGAAGCTTTTTTTTTTTTTTTCCCTACCAGGGATCAAACTCGGGTCTATGCTCTTAAGAGGCAGGCAGTGGAATCACTGAACTAAATCCCCGGCCCCCAGAAACTTTTTAATAAGAAGAGATACCACTTGTTGATTGTTTTTGCTAGTTAGCATGCAATTGAGGTTTTGTTCATAAGATCTTTTCCTATACCAATGAACAAATATTTTAAAATTACATCAATTTGATAGAGAAAAAAATAGTGTATGTTCTATTTATATGAATTTCTTTATCAGTGAGATTAAACTTATTTGTTAATCATTGATTTAAAAAAAATTCTCTATTCAAACTGGGCATGGTGTTACATGCCTGTAATCCCAGCACTTGGGAGGCTGAGGCAGGAGGATTGCCAAGAATTTGAGGCCAGCTTGGGCTACATAGTGATCTCAAGGCCAGCCTGAACTATATAGCCTGTCTTAAAAAAAAAGAATCTATTCATTCCTTTAACTATCATTTATTTGACAACAGTTGCTCCTCTGCTTTTCATTATGCTAAATTGTTTCTATTAATTCATTTATTCAGTAGTTCTACTGAATAAATTTCTCACTGATTTATGGTTTACTTTTTAAAAATATACTGTTTCCTATATATATATATATATTGTTTGCTTGGTCCAATTGGTCTGTCTCTTGTTTTTTTTTTATGGTACTAGGAATTGAACTATGTATTGAGCTATGTCAACACTTTTAAAATGTTTATTTTGAGACAGATTCTCCATAAGTTGCTACATTGCCCAGGCTGGTCTTGAACTTGGGATCCTCCTGCCTTAACTTTTCAGAGTGCACCACCATACCTACTGCATCTGTTGATTCTTAGGCCAATCCTCCTCCTCCTCCTCCTCCTTCTCTATCTCCTCCTTTTCTTTTTCCTCCTCCTTCTGCTTCTCTTCCTTCTCTTTCTCCTTGTCCTCCTCCTCTTTTTCTTCCTCCTCCTCCTCTTCATCCTCCTCCTCTTCCTCCGTCTTCATAGAGCCCCACAGATTGAAAAACACTGTTTTACTGTACAGATTCATTCACTGGAAAAACTTTAATTATTGCACTCAGTTATTTCCTAAAGATTATGTGTGCGTGTGCGTGCGTGTGTGTGTGTGTGTGTATGTGTGTGTGTGTGTGTGTGTGTCTTGTATGTAGAGTATCATGCCATCAACAAATAATGAGAATTTAACTTCTTTATTTCCTATCTTCATTCTTTTTATTTCTTTAGCCTATTTGCTGTGGTTAAACTTCTTTAGATCTGGATATTGATGTTTAGAGAGCCTGGCCAAAAAGGAAATGGTAAAAGCAGAAGTTGACAGATTCCTTGTTGGGTAGAAAGAAGCCACCAGAGGCCAAGGAAGATACAGAACGTGCTGGTAGGACATTTTTGGCAGCAGATGGCTGAGATTCCTGTAAGAATGTAACCTTTCTGGCTGTAGTTAACTTAGTCTTAGGTTGCGAGGATTTAGCTAGTGGTGCTGCCGCCTGCCTCGCAAGCAGAAGGTCCAGAGTTTGATCCTTGGTATAAAAAAAAAAAAAAAGAGCACAGTCTTGGGGCTCTGGCCTTTTGCAGAGAGGATGCAAGGAGAAAAGATGGAGTGATATTGTGCAGCAAGGGTACCACATGCAGAACCAGTATCTGCTGCGCTTGGCTAGTTTGACTGAAATGGGGACTTAAAGCCTGGCTGTTCTCATGTTTATTTCCTCTAATAAACCTCATTCTACCCTTAGAAGGATTGGGAAGAAAGTTGGATCCTTTACATTTGATTCTTAGAAGACCCAGTAGACATCTTAGTGGTAATATGCTTTTATGTAGTCCATGATCATTGGACTCCTGGTATTTACAACATACCAAAATCTTTCCATATCAATCACCATAGATATCACCATATACTAAAATGTTCCTACTGTGGGACTGTGTTATGATTCATTTAATCATGTAATGTTGTTCTTAAGACACTAGGAACTTTTTACTTTAGACTGAATGTTTTTGAACCTATTTTTTGCCTGTTGGATGCTCTCTTTAGTGTAAACCCCTCAAAGTGGACAGCTGTGCATGTTTACACATCAGATTGCTCTCTAGAAAGACTGTTCCAATTTCTACTCTTGCCAGCCATGCCTGCAGGTGCACTTGGCCAGAACTTGTTGGTAAGACAGGATGGATGCCAGAACACATTTCTTCTTAACATTTGTTTTAGGACCAATAATAAGAGGCATATAGTAGAAGGAAATCTGTCTACTACTTAAAACTTGTAATGGCACAGTATGAACCAAGTTTACTTCCCACCTTCCTGAATAACAATATAAAACCAATTGATGTCTTTTTCTTGTAGATGATCCAATGGCAGTCTAGTGGACAGTCTATGGGAAAAGATGTGCATAATAGCATAACGTCGTTCTAGTCGGATCAAAGTGTACACATTATATAGTGTAACTTTGGAGCTTACCTTTCATATTTTATCTTTAAAAATGGCATCCTTTGAATAGGGTACATATGTTCCTTCACTGATTTACCTTTGGGATTAATTTACATTTAGTTGAATTTTGTGGTTGGATAACTCAGGAGCTATTGGTGACCTGAATGTTGGAATGCTTTTATAATGCATGCAGAAATGATTGGAAAGGTACGGGAAAGGAAATAAGGGAAAAGAAAAAAAATGAGACAATGAAAAAATGGAAATAAAGTGTTTATAAATAGGGAAGGGAGGAGGGGGTGAAGGGAGGGCAGGAACAAGGGGAAAGACTGAGAACCAAGACCTGTCATGTAAAGGTACAAAATCCCAATGATGAATGTAACTGTACTGCAAAACTAAAATGTACCAATAAACTCAATGAGGGTGAAAAAAAAAAAGAGCTAAAAAGGGATGTGTTAGGTTTTTGTCACTATGACAAAAATACTTGAGAAAAGGAGAAAAGGTTTAATTTGGCTCATGTTTTCAGAGATTTTAGTCCGTTTATCTGGCTCTATTCTCCTTGGGCTTGTGGTAAGGCAGAAATATCACGGCAGAAGTGTGGGGTGGAGAACAGCTGTTTACCTCATGGCTGTTAGGAAGCAGAGAGGGTGAGAGTCTGCGCAGGCGGTCTTCCTCTTTCTTCTGTTTTTGTTCCCCTGGGCTCCCACCCTGTTGCATGATGCTACCTATATTCAGGACAGGTCTTCCTCCTCAGTTTGCTGTGCCACACACTAACTCTCTCAAGAAACACCCTCGTAGTCGCACCCAGAAGTGTGCTTTACCAGTTTCCTACATGTTTCTCAATTCAGCAAAATTTATAATCAAGATTAACCGACACCTGAACTTACTGCTAAAGTTTGATATCTAGATTTGAAATAAGATTAGTGTATCACTTATAGAAAATTTCCATAAAAAAGTTTGTGTTTAGTTTAGTGAAAAATTCAGGCAACCCAAGCCCCATCTTGGGTTAAAGACCTACCAGGCAATCTTTTCTTCTCTTATTTTTTTAAAATCATGAAACATAAACCTATACAGAAAAGTGTATAATAACATAAGCATTCAATTTAGAAAAAAAATTAAGATGAACAGTAGATACCCATCAAGAAACAATTTTCAATTTTCTTTAAAATAATTCTCTTTTATGGGAAAAGTGATAAAGCCACACATGGTAAGCAGGGGTGTAGAAGCCAGGCCGGGGTAGGACATTGGGGGTGGTGTGAGAGGGCTAGGAGGGGAAGGGGACAACCAAGTCATCCTTGCATGCATGTTCATATTGTTTTTCTTACTGTATGTGCTATTTTTCTACTCAAATAAAAATGGGTGAGAAGAGGAAGCTTACTATTCTCTTGCCAGAGAGGGAAATAGAAAATGTGGCAGTGGTTGTCCACATGTATTGAAGGGCCTTGCAATAATTCCTATGTACTAGATAGCTCGGTGGATTCTCATTAAAAAGCATGATAATCAATGGCAAATTTTCAAAAAGTTTAATTTAAAGGATCCAAAGTGGCTCCTGTTATACCATATTTTTTATCTTTGTGCGTTGTCTGTTAGCAGTATTTTTTTCTTTGCTTAAACAGATTGCTGAGCTGGATGAAATAGAATATATTGAAAATCTTCCTATCCTTCGAATTCTCAATCTTCTAAGAAATCCAGTTCAGGTGAGGATAATCATTTATATATCGAGGAAGGGGGAAGAAAGGAGGATGATTCTGGAATTTTTCATCTTCAAGAAGGACTTTTGATAAAGAATATCAAGAATGTGAATACAGTGTTTTTTTTTAAAGCCTCATTCTCTGTCTCCTAAGATCAACTAGAAGGATTAAGCAAAGTAGCTCCTAAAATGTCTTGTTTTTCAAGAAATTGATCTTCTCTGTGACTAATGAGGTATGACATGGCACCACTGTCAGAGTAAAGCTTAAGGTCGAATGTTATTTATCTGCTCTGTGTGGTCATTTAGCACTCATCTCAGGTGGTGCTAAAGATTATAGGAGGGAGCTGATCAGATTGTAGAGCAATGTTCTTTCACTGTAGAGAATAAGAGACCCCAGAGGTGTAAACAGAATACTGTACCTATTTTACAACAGGGGAAAGAAAGTATACGATTAGATACCTAACATAATTTGCCTGGACGTAGCCGTGAAATTGCCTTGATTGTAAAATATGTAATTATGGAGTCAAGTTATGTACTACTTACTACAACAGTGGTGGTGAACCTATGGCAGATATGTTGTTTTTGTTTTAAGACAAAAGATGTTAGTGTATGGTTGTTTTTTCTAAATGAAAATCTCCATATTCAGGTTTAATTGCAGTGTTTGAACTTTGCAATAAATAAGTGGGTTTTGATTTGCAGTTTGGGCAAAAAAGTTCACCATCACTGTCCTAGAGGTTTTTAACCTCTATCATCTAAGCTTCCGGGACATTTTTTTCCCCCAGATTTCTCTGCTTTTCTCCATTAACAAATCCATTTTACTGGCCTCCTTCCTTCTCTCTTTGTCTGTCTTAGTTACTTATTTCGCTGAGACAAAGTACCTGACACCCAAAGTTAAAGGAGAAAAGGTGTACTGTAGCTCACTATTTGTAGAGGTTTCAGTTCATAGTTGGCTGGATCCAAGCCAGGGTGGCATGAAAGAGGGGCCTCACAGAGGAGAAACAGTTCATGGAGAGCAGAAGGCAGCAAAACAGCAAAGTAGCAAGCAGCAAGTAACAACAGCAGCCCTCTTTTTTGTCCCTTAGGGCAGATAGCACTCACATCCATGGTGAGGCAGCCTTAATCCTTAGACAATCATAGCATCATATCCTTAATCCCAGCATATACACCCTAGATCAAACCACCTCCAAACCACAGGTCCCTACCTGTGACCACATGAGGCTTTAAGAGGACATCTAGATACAAATACTAACACTGTTTATATTTTATTCATTTTCCTATGTCCTTCCACAGACTCTTTTTTTTTTTTTGGTACCGGGGATTGAACTTGGGTATTTGCATTTGCAAGGCAGGCCACCAAACCACTGAGCTAAATCCCTGGCCCCAACAGATTCTTGATTGTATATTTTTAATACCTTTCTGGTATGGGTATAGTGGCAAGCAATTTAAAGCATCTCTGGAAGTCAGGGAACACAGTTTAATGCCTCATCACATCCCAGTTTCAGATCTGTGGAGAGTGTTCATATATACTTCTATGTAAATTGCACAAACCCTTGGATGCACGTTGACACATCATATATGAAGCCTCCTGTAACATTTACATGTGGAAGTACATAAAATAAACGTTAAAAATTATTAAAAATTCACATAAACTAATTGTATAGATTCATGAGGTGTGGTGTGATAATTCAATACATGTGGACAGTGTGTAATGATCAGATCAGGGTAATTAGCATTTCTATATCCGAATTTCTTTGAGTTGGGAACCTAGGTAAAAGATATTATATATTTGCCACATGTGCATTCTTATGTATGAATGGCAGCATCCACTAATATCGCATTTCTAAGAGACTTGGCAGCTTAATACGAAGAAAAAAATTACACTTTTTTGATTTTTTTTTTTTTTTTTTTTGTACCAGGACTGAACTCTGGACCTTGTCTTGCGAGGCAGGCAGCGGAACCACCAAGCTAAATCCCCAGCAGAAAAATTACACTTTTAAAAGGCAGATAACCCTAATGTAGCAGATGGTAGGGAGTAATAAAGAATTTGTTTTACAAATGAATATGTTATTATTGTAAGACAAATTCATAGTGAGTGATATAAATTAATACAAAAGAATACAAAAAAGGAAAATAATAAATAGTAAAATTCCATCATTTTCAGGAACAAAATTCTTTGGCATCAGAAGGCAGTGTTTGAATCCTTGGAATTTAAGTATGAGTTGCTTCACATCTCTGAGGCTTAGCTGTTTTTTTCTTTGGAAATGAGGATAATCCTGCTCAACTCATGGGGAGAATAATAAGATGTGCACATTTGAAGAATTTATGAATTACAAGGCACAGTTTGCATCTGAGTTGTTAATATAAGGGGAGGGCTAAGCATGAACACATGGAGACCTAGGAGGGGTGTGGGGATAGCAGTGAAGGGCTAAGCTTATGAGAACAGCGTGCTGATACTTGTGAACTGGGAAGAGGAAGGCAACTGAATGTTGTTCTTGATATTTTAAATAGGAGAAATCTGAATACTGGCTCTTTGTGATATTTATGCTACTGCGGTTAACAGAATTAGATCAGAAGAAAATTAAAGTGGAAGAAAAGGTACGTAATCATGTCATTTCATGTATTTATGGAGAATATGCCCAAAGTTTCATGTTGCCTATTGTGGACCAATATAATCAATCAATGAGATGTATGCTAATATATAAATTAATTTTGTATTTTGGGACTGATTCCTTGTCTTAGGCTAGGATCTCAGTTGAACCTTCTGCAATGCTGGATACCTGACTGGGTGTGGTGATACATGTCTGTAATCCCAGCACTCTGGCAAGCTGAGACAGGAGGATCCTAAGTATGAGCCTAGCCTGGGCAATTTAGCAACTCAGTGAGACCCTGTCTCAAAATAATAAATGAAAGGCTGGGAACAGAGCTCAGTCCAGAGGCCCTGAGTTTAATCCCCAGTAACCCAGAAATACACACACATGCACGCGCGCACGCGCACACACACACACACACACACACACACACACAGCTGGGCATTGGCATCAACACAAATGCAATGGAAGCCCAGCCATTGGTAGAGTGGAAAGCCTGATAGTAAGGGACAAGAACAACACTCTTTTTATCCTCTTACCTAGGTCATGTTGTGGCAGACTCGCCGTTTAGATGACTGTTCTATTCAGAGGGTGTATGATTCCGTGTTACTTTTAAAATGCATTTAACAATAAAATGTTTTATAATGTCATTCTACCTTATAATGTAAAGATACTCAAATAAATCACTACCCTGATATTTTAAGTGTTTCAATTTTGCCCTTTAAAATGATGATTCATTTGGTCACGCAATTCTACAGTAACCAGGTCTTGAATGTTAGGATCGATCTCTATTGCTGTGGTAGCTGTTTTTCGTTGTCCCTTAGTGGCTGATGACTGCTGAAATCTCTACTCCTGAAGGAATTCTTACACTGGATACAAATTTGAGATAAGAATAAAAGCAGGTATAAATACATAGGCACACATTCCGTCTCATAGATGACTTTCTGCAATCTTGGGTAAGGGTAGAAACAGATGCTTCCCCATTATTTTTCTCACATTCATAGGCACTTAAGTTTCTTTTTTCCATTAACATTTTGCAAAAGAAATAAGAATTAAACCATGTATTCAGGAAAAGTGTGGTAGTTGAGGATAATGTATTTAGAACTATGTATTGTGAAGAAAAGACTTGTTCAAGGTGTGATAAAAATACATACATTTTTAAATTTAAAAAAATTATTAAAAGTCACATTGTCATTAATCCTCCTCAATATACGTCCGCTCACTTCGAACACACCCCGTCATTCTTGCCACTTTCTAAAGCAGTTCTGGAAGTCCTCTTTCATGAGTGGCTTTAATTGTGCTGTCATGACTGCCTTATGCCCGAGTCACTTCAAAACATTTGCCTTTCATAATCATTTTGACATTGGAGAAGAGCCAGAAGTCATATGGTGCCAAATCTGGTGGATAAAATGGATGAGGACAGACTAATACATTTTTATTTAAACATTCATCGTAGTTTTTCATCTTTACTTTATACCCTTGACTAGAGAAATTTAAGCTAAAAGAAGTTTTTGTAGAATGCAAAATCTTGGGAATAATTTTAAAAATTTTTTTATTTTAATTTTTTGGTATCAGAGATTGAACTCAGGACCTTGCACTTGCCAGGCAGGTGCGGTTCCACTGAGCTAAATCCCTGGCCCCTGTGAGAATAATTCTCAGTGATACAGTATGATAAAAAGTTCACCAGAATCAACTACCTGGAATCTATAAATTTTATCCCTTCTACTCCTAGAAAAAGTTGGAATGTTTACTATATTAAAAGTAACCCGGGCCGGGGATTTAGCTCAGCAGTTTGGTGGCCTGCCTCGCAAGCTCAAGGACCCGAGTTCAATCCCCGGTACTAAAAAAACAAAACAAAACAAAAGTAACCCAGGCTGGGGATTTAGCTGAGTGGTTCTGGTGCCTGCTTCAAAAGCACAAGGACCTGAGTTCAATCCCAGGTACGCCCCCCCCAAAAAAAGGAATGTAGATTTATGATGAATGTTAACTATACTGTATATCTAAAAAGTACCAATAAACTCAATGATAAAAAAAAAGTAACCATGAACTTCAGGATTTCCTTTTCCCATTTCCACTTTCAAATGAAGGACTATAAAGAAGCAGGGCCGCAGTAAAGGGAAAAAATGAGAACCAAGACTGTCATGTAAAGTTACAAGATCCCAATGATGAATGTAACTATAATGTATACCTAAAATATACCAGTAAACTCAATGAGAGAAAAAAAAAGAAGCAGGAGATCAGAAGACTCCTTTCAATATTTAAAAAATAATTATCATTATTTATTTTTTAGGAAAGTTAGAGTTGATATGAAGATCGAATACAAAGGCTCGTGGTTATGTGTTATTTTGTGTACCTGGTTATATGTCTAGATTGTTTCATTAAAGAAAACTTAAACATTCACTTCTTTTTAGAAACAAATCATTTCCCCTTGCACTCTCCTAATTCTGGAATAGGTGGCAGCTGTGAATAAATATGACCCTCCCCCTGAAGTGGTCGCAGCTCAAGATCACCTGACCCATGTTGTCAACAGCGTCATGCAGCCTCAGAGGATCTTTGACAGGTATTTATGAGTATTCCATGAGTAAGCACAGGTAGCCAGAGAAGAACCTCATCATTTTCCTTAGCCCTCTATTTTGTGTCCCTTCATTTCCTGTAAAGGCTACTTTCTCACTTTCCCTGAGGATAGGGCCCAGTCTTCATGTGAAAGACTGTAAGTCCCTTGTGGTGTGTTGTTGTGAATGTGGATGTGCTCTTTACCCACTCACTGGTTGGTGTTTTTCCAGGCATGGCAATGAGCTGATTGATCTTCATTCTTTTATCTGACCCCTTGTATGTTGGCTAAGCTGAGCCATATAACATGAAAGCTTTAAAAAGTTTGTTGACTTTTCTGCCTTAGGAAACTCACAGACAGCCTCATTAACAGAAAATCATGATCATTCATATCCATTATAAATCTTTTCTTGGGTGTCAAACAATGCTACATACCCCAGCCAAAGACCACTCTATGAATTCAGGCTATTAGAGAGTCCCTAGAAGGAAGCCCAGCTAGCCTCCGGGAAGCCTGACATAGTCTTTGCACTGAGCTGCAATCAACCCAGCAGGGAGGAGTGGTCCAGCTTGTTTGAACACATGAATAGAGTCTCTCACCTCTAAATTTGAAGACAGATTTACCATGGTTTCTCCATTTCTTTTAAAACAATCTGTTGAAGCAGATGGCCATTTATGCTATAAGTATAATGCAGAAATTCTATCAATTCTCAAAGGCACTTTAAAAGTACTTGTAAAACTCTCAGATGTCAATGGCTTTTTTTCTTCATGTGGTATTTGCTCCTGTGCTTCACCTGGTTGGTTTCCTGCAGAGATCAGAATGTTTTATTTTCCAACCCAGGACAGGAGTTTTACATATAATTTGATAATATAGACACTGACAGTTTTATATGTGCATGAGATTCCTCTAGGTGAAATGATATATCATATATTTGCATACATCTGGAAAAGCTCATTTGATTTAAAAGAAGTATATTTATATCTTCATTGTATTTCTTTTTTAGTTTATAATATTGGTACTTGTTTCATGCTTTAGAGTATATTTGTATAAAAGCATGTATCAAATATTTGCAGTAGTGTTTTGATAAATGTGTATTTCTTGATCATTTCTGGCTTTCAGGCAAATAGAAAGGCCAAGCAGGCCTGGATGTTCAGAACAGAACAGCACTCATAGTTCTAGATCAGTAGCTGGCCTGCCTGACATTTCCCTTCCCATGCCAGGCCAGCACACAGCTCTCTAGACCACCAGAAGTCAAGTCCAGGAGTCATTTTGACTCTTGACCTCGTGAAATATCTGTTGAATTATTGGAGAATCACTGGCCCCTCCCTTGGCATGACTGGGGATAAGAATACCATGTTAGAATGAGACAGACAAACCTTGACTGGCCAGGTAACCACTGACAGCTCTCTTGCTCTTTGATATGACAAATGTCCTCAGTTTTATCTTGTATGTGTTCTGTCCCAAATCTATCATTAGCTACTTCCCCAAGAAGCACTGATTTTTTGTGAGAAATGGCACTTCCTATTCTCAATCTGAGTGCTAATAGTATTTATTGCTGCTGAGTTGGTCATTGTTTCTAGGCCTTTTAGTGAAAAGAACCAAGAACATCTTTTGTTTTGATGTATTCATTCATATACCCATCTATCTACCCATCCTGTCTGTACCTGTCTATCCCATCTAATTATTTCTCTATGTCTAGATAGCTCTCTCTAGAACTCCTGATAATGTTACTTAGAACTAAATTTCAAGACAACTGTCAAGGTTTTATTTAGCCTTTTCCGTATCACATCTCTATTTTCTTTTCTCCCACACAGAGAATCCTGGTTGTCAGTCATACAGAGAAGTTCAGAATTGCAAAATCCCATAATGATGTATTTTTTAAAGTCTGTGTTATATCACAGTGGTATCAGAAGACCAATACTATTACCAACATGATCGCTGAAAGTGATTAAAAGCATTTTTGCCTTTGTTTACCCACTCAACCCCTTCCCCAGCTCCCAGCCCCCTGATAACCTCTTACTTACTATCTTCATGAATTTGCCTATTCCATTTATTGTACCAACCACTCCTTTTTAAAAGTAGTGGATTGTACTTTTATATCAAAACATACAGTCATCACATATTATACTCTCTTCTTTGTTCTCATTTAGTCTTAGTTCTCATTAGTCCAAGGCAACTGCATATTTATTAATCATGAGTCCTTATATTGGTGTCTGTTGCATCATTTTAGTTGTGCAAAGCCTGTTTTCTAAATGATTCCTCAGGAAGGGCTATAAGATCATTCTTACATATTGATAGTTTGTGTCTTTCATACTTGGAAGTCATTTTTGCTAAATATTAAATTCATAGCTCACACATTCTGCCCTTGAATACATTAAAGATTTCTTTTGACATGAAACATTGGTATCAAAATCTGATAATTTGTTTTCTCTTATAAAGTCCTGTGCTGTCTTTTTCTGGTTTTTTTTTCCCCCTTTTTCTTTGAAGTCCAGTAATTTTACTAGATGTAATGTTAGTATTAGTTGTTCTGGGATATTTAGGTATAATGTATGCCCCTTTTTTGTTTAGTGTTTTTTTTTTTAATTTTAGGAAACAAATTTTAAATTAGTTCTTAAAATTTTCCTGTCCCTTTGCTTTGATTTTCTTTTTCAAGAAAACCTCCTTTGCCTATTTTCAGTATTTGTCACTTTCTCTCAAGTATTTTTTTCTCCTTAGATATTTTTCTTAAAAAGAATTTATTTTGAGATAATTGCAAATTCACAGGCAATTGTAAGAAATAACACTAAGAAATTCTGCATATGTTCCACCCACTTTTTCCCAAAGATGATCTTACATAACTTTAGTTGGGTTTCAAAATAAGCAAATTGACCAGGAAATCCACCAATCTTACCAGATTTCAGTTTTTCGTGTACTTGTGTATGCATTTAGTTCTCTGTAATTCTGTGCAAACATTACATGGTTAGGCTCATCTGTGCACCACTACATTCATGACACAGAGCAGTTTCATCACAAGGATTCCTGGTGATGCTCTTTAATAGCCACAGTGATATGGGAGTTATATCGGACCTCCATATGATATAGGAAAATATAACTCCCAACCGGCTAGATGTCAGATACATCCAGATCATGTTCCCCAGAATCGAAGAATGAATTCTAGGGAACAACAGACATTAAGAGTAGGAAATATTTATTGAGAGATATAGCTCCTGACAGGCAGGAGTGGCCCCAAATGGGTAGCCAGGGACCCCACTTTACAGAGGAAATTTTATAGAACACTACCATGTTGGGTACAAAGTAGGTGAAAGCTATGATCAGCCAATAAGATTACAAGTATAATCACTTAGATAATAGTGATCCATTGGGGAAGCAAATCACATAGCAAGGGTACATAAGAAGAACAAAGAACTTCTTTGGGACGGATAGGTCTGAGGATCTTGGTCACCCACAAAGGTGACTGATATCTATCTAGACTTTATTGGGCCAGGTGTTACCACTTATCTCATCCCTTGGGAAAGGATGTAGGCCTGGTCATCTTTATTTTGAAGCCTGATCTCCAATGGATGTGCCTCCAGCCCACAGTTGTAATGTGTTTTTATCTTTTGTACTGACTTGAGGGCCAAGCCCTGTGTGACTGACTGTAATATCACTACCTTAGCAGTCTATAATAAACTGTGCCTCCTTCCCTTTCATCTTTTCTTACCCTTGGCAACCACTGTGAATCTGTCCCCATCTCTATAACGTGATTATTTCAAGAATGTCATATAAATGGAATCATACAGTATAGCTATTAGATTTTATACCCTCCCTCAACATAATTCTCCAGAACTTCACCCAAGTTGTTTCATGTATTGACAGTTCACTCTTTTTTGTTGCTGAGTAGTATTCCATGCTGTGAATGTGTCACAGATAACATAACCATTCACCTGGTAAGGATAGCTGGGTAGATTCCAGTTTTGGGCCATTAATGAAGTTGCTATGGACGTTCATGAACAGGTTTTGCATATGTACAATTTGAGTCCATCTGCATCTCATAAATACCCAGTGGCTCTTGGGATTCTCTGTCCTCAGATCTTCCAGGCCTTGCCGTGTTACATCTTCCATACAAACTCTAGGACAGGCAGGCTTTGTTAGGGTTTGTGTTCCTGGAGATACCTTTCCTTTCATCTGGTTTTGTTATACATGTTTTCCAAGGGCTCTTGTTCTTAAATTTTTATGCTTTTCTGTGGGTACTCAGTGATCCTGGATAATGTGCTATTTATTTCATAGTTTTCAGACTCTTCAATGAATCCACACCTAAGCCATGTATTTAAAAATATCTTATTTTAACCCAGCTTGGTGGTACATGCCTATAATCCTAGAACTCTGGAAGGCTGAGGCAGGAAGATTATAACTTTGAAGCCAGCCTGAGAAACTTAGTGACTTAGCAAAAACCTGTTTCAAAATTTAAAAAAAGGAAACAAAACAAAACAACCAGAGCTGTGTATGTAGCTCATTTCAAAGGCCTATATTTAATCTCCACTACCACAAAAAAATTTTATTGGGTAATTTTACAAATTGTTTCATGAGTGGAGTCCAAACTCAAGAGCTTAGCATAAAGGAGATTTTATTAAATTCATTCTTCAGTTCATTCTTCAGGCATGGAAACTAAGCCTAGAAGTGTATATAACTCTTCCTCCGAGCAAGTTAATTAACCTTTCTGTACTTCAGTTTCTTCATGTGCTAAGTGGGATAATGACAGGAATATCTTTATTAGTTTCTTATAATTAAAGCACTACACATAAAACTCCTAGAATAGTGCCTGGCAAGTAGTAATTACTCACGTAAATTTTAGTTGTTATTATTGTTTGTTTTGCCTACCTGCATTCTAATGTAATAGGTATGAATGTTAAACATTAATGCTCAGAGAGCAGTCACGTCTTTTATTGGTAAGTTCTGAGACTACTTTAGCAATCAAGAACTAATCTGTCTTACCACATTTTCCTTTTAAAAAGCTCTGCAAAGTAAATTTACACAAATTTGCATTTTACCTTGTTACCTATGCTTTGAAGATTATTTTTGATAATTATAATCAGCTTATTTCTGGAAAGTAATCGCATCCTTCCACCCTGTCTGGGTACAGCAAGTGCTCATCAACGATGCTTGTGAAATAGTGATTGGGTCAAATGGCTATAGTTAACATGTGATCTCTCTGCCAGGTATGGGACAGTAATTTCTTGGTCCTGTGTTGCAGCACCCTTCCTAGTTTGGACGCCCCTTATCCCATGCTGATACTGGCTGGACCTCAAGCTTGTGGGAAACGAGAACTTGCTCACCGCCTCTGCAGACAGTTTAATTCTTACTTCAGATATGGGTAAGTTTATTTATTGACTTGTAAGCCTCAGACATTCTTCCAAATTGTTTTGTTTTGTTTTGTTGGTACTGGGGATCGAACTTGGGTCCTTGGGCTTGTGAGGCAGGTGGTGGCGTCACTGGCCTAAATTACTGGCCCCTCTTCCAAATTGATAAAATCTCAGGTATTCCTAATTTTGACTATTTAAACAAGCGCACAAATATACAAAGCAACTTGCTTATGATGCAGTCTGCAGCAGAGCTTGAAGTGGTAATCTAATTGAGTGCTCAGTAGATGTGAACTCTTGGTAAGGACAGAGCAACCTGAGAGCGTTAGTCCTTGAAGGTAAATTATTGGTAAAATTAGATCAGTGTGATTATCTAGTCTTACAAATACCAAGAATCTTGATTCTCATTTCATTCTAATTGATGTGGTAGAGATGCTTGTTAGCAAGAACCAAGAAGTAAAATAGTTTATCTTTTGCGTAACAGACAGTAAACATAGCAGTGACCACTGCATCAGACAGTCAAATAAGCGTGGTACATCTGTGCCATTGCTCATCTTTGGCATTAGAGGTTCTAGCTTCTTCTCCATTTATTATGTTATAGTGTGTGTATTTTTTAACTTTAATTCTCTTCATGTTTAGTTTAATTCAATGCCAGCCCAAATTGCACTGTAGGGTTTGAAAATACTGTGCTTTGTAATTGAGCAAAAAGGTGTTTGAAGGCAGGATTCCTCTGCTGTTTTCTGGTGGTGTGACAGCATTGTGACCATGCCTTGGTGGGTGGGGTTGCACTTCAGGGACGCCTCAAAGTTCTTTCCTGCTTCGGCAGTACTTGAGCTTCTGTGTCCCCAGACCTGCCTTCCTCTTCTAAGGCAGATTTCAGGAGGAAGGACAGAAAAGGGGCAGCGTTTCCTGTCCTTTCCTTCAGAGGAGTAGTCCATACACTCAAATTTTCTGGAGCAAATATTGAGCCATTCCCTAGTGGCCCTGTTAAAATAGAGGATAAGATCAGGAAGACTAGTTCCATCCAAGAAAACTATTCTTCTAGATTTACAGATTTTTTTTTTAGAGGTTTCTGGGAATCAGATTTAGAATTGTCATTGGGTCTCTAAAATGGGTTTCCTCTTTTATTTTTTATGTGTGGCAAAAGAATTACTTTTAGATTAGTGCTATGTGTTGATGAGCTGAGGATGTGACTACAAATTTATACAGGACAGCAAGAAAAATAAGTGCAAACTTTTCTAAGGCTGTAACAAAAAAAACCTTCACTTAAACTACATATGTTCAATAGAGTTCCTCGCAGCTGTTACCCACTTTGTATTTCATTTTTCATTCATTTAGGTATTTAAAATTGCAGTTGGACAACTCGAAGATGCATATAGTATAGAATAATTTGCTTAATGTATTTTATACACTGAAATTTCAAAAATTAAAGTTAATACTAGAATTTTAAAAGTATACAGAGCCATTATGCTTATATAGAGGCACCTAACCTGTTTTAAAAGATAAGCTGAATACTGTGAATAGAAAGTCAAACATGGGCAAAAGGGTATTGCTAATGTGTAAATTTAGAACATTTTAGCAAACCAAAGTGCTAGAGCTTTCTCTTTCATATCTCTGATACCAATTATGTTGTTAATAGTTGGCAGCCTGGTCCTTTTTATTTGCTTGTGATGTGCTACTGCTTGATTAGTCTGATGTATTCTTGCAGGTATTTGTTGACTCATCATCACATTCTGGTATAATCTGCTTCTACTTTCTTACCTGCCCCCATTACTCATTTTTACTAAATCCTATATTTTCCTTGTTAGAAAGTTTATTGTGCTTTGATTGATTTATTTCATATCTGTTTTCTCTGCTCATCTGTCACCCCAGTTGGGGTAGGGGCCACGTCAGTCTTATTTACCGTTTGAGTTTTCATTGCCCAGCAGATGGCCAGGCACTTAATATATGTGCGGTGAATATCTGTGAAGTGACCCAGTGAGAGAATGAGTAGTTGAATTAATGGTAATATATGCAATGCTTAGTGGAAATAGCTATGATAAGAGGCAAAGATGGTATTCCTGGTATATATATGGGGAATTGGATGGATTCATTCATTCATTAAATATTTATTAAGTCTTTTTTTTCCATGTGCTTGTCAATAAGGATAGAATGGAAACAAGACTGGTGAGGTCCTTGCCTTCATGAAACATAGAATCTGGTGGGCAACTCAGACCTTAGATAATTAGTATGTATAGTTTGTGTGGTGGCCTGAGATGGCAAAATGGAATCTTTAAATGAACCTCATATCCTGTACTGTCAGTGCTGCCTCTAGGATTTTTCTCCTGTGGCCAAAATTAGTGGTGAGTGGAAAAATACTTCTCACTGCTCCCTACTGATTGCATCCTCAGTCATCCACCTCCCTCATGGGCTCCAGAGTGCTGGCCAACCACTCACTGTCATGTGCCCCAGAGGCAGAGACCAGGACTAGTTTGGGGGTACACATCATTCTGAGAATTCCATCAAGGTCTGGAACAAAGATTATGTCTCTGGGTAAAAAAGGTGTTAGATAGCTAGTAATTTTATCCATTGATAAAGTAAGCAAGTTCTACTATTATATGTAGCAGCTTTCTGATTAAAAGTGAGGATAAAACTAAAGCACATCTGCAGGGGCAAGGTAATGCTTTTGTTTAGACTTTATTTTTAAATTCTTTACCCAACATAAGTTTTATTGATCTTTAATTAAATGAAAGCAGGCATGGATATGGTCTCGTTGTGAAATATAAAAGCATTTTTAAAGGCATTTTCTCTGCCATTTGCTTGAATCTTTTCCTCTTATTTATTTTCTCCTGGTGTTTTATTTCCTTTGTAAATTGTATTGACTGAAGATCCAGACATTTCAGTGAAATTTTCATATGCTAAGCTGTATATCGAGAGAATAAATAAAAATATAATTCAGTCATATAACAAATAGTGGTGTGGCTGAGAAATTCTACTCTAGTCTTAGGTTGTGATTTTACTATTTGTTCCTGTTTTCAGAAATAGGTTGGATGTTCTTTCTTCTGTTACGAGTGGCCTGGAGATACACATTTAGTGCCTTCACAGTGTGTCTATTTATTTCTAACTTTATATTACCACACAAATCAGTGGCTTCTTGGAAAAATACTGGATAATGAGGGCACCACAAAATAATACCAGTTTGCCTTTTAATCTTCCAGATTTAAGGTCATATTATGAATCTGAATAGTCCTGAAAGAAAACCTTCACTCTTCTTTCAATCTCTATTTTATAACAATCTCTATTTTCATAACCTTCTCATAATGTTGACTACTAAATATACTTTACTTTTCACATTATCATAAATAATTGCATTATAATACAGTAGTTGCATGAGATGGTCTGAGGTATAGCAACCCAAATAAAGTCTACTCTGATTTGTCTATACAAATATAACACATTTGCAGAATGGTTCATTTATTCATTCAGCCAGTAGTTATTGAGCACTGTCCACATGCCATGTGCTGGTGATAAAAACTGAAATGAACAGACATGGGTCTTGTCCTCTTGGAGACTTCCAGTCAAGGCATGGGGCTTAGACAGGAAATGCTGTCTAAGAAGATAATTTGCAATGATGAGGAAAGTAAAGAATGATCAAAGTGAAAGAGAAGCAGGATGTGGAGCTTCAGTGGAGTTCCTTGCAGAGAACAACAGCCAAGTTTTATTAACTGAGCACACTTGTGGTAGCACGGATAAGCTTGATGATGGGAAATGCAGAAGAAAAGACTGGATAGAATCAAAGTGCTGTTAAGCAGGGAAATTGAATATTCTCAGGTGCATTTTAGAGAGTATCCTGTCAACAGTTAGGATGGGGCTTGGGGAAAGAAGGCTAGAGACAAGAAGACCAATTAGAATATAGAGACAGGTGATGAAGGTAGGATTTGGAAGGTGGTGTGTAGTTAAGGGAACATGAGCAGAGTAGGGGCTTCATGAAATCTGATACTCAGACATAGTATGTACAGGAATCCCTGTATTCATGGTCCCTTAAATCATGTCCAGCAATTTATTGATGTATACTAGCATTGAATGTGAAAACCAATTTAACTTACCTGTAAAATGTTCTAGAATACCTGGACTTTTGGGGGTGCCCTTTGGAAAAGCTCACTCACAATATGGCCATGCTGTGGTGTGCTTGAGTTCATATGTGGTCATTGCCAAGCCTCTGCCTAAATATTGGTAGTATCAGGAAGTTCAGTATTTCCTGGTTGCAAATTGAGATTCTAAATCTGTGTGCTTCTGAATCATGCTGAAAAACAACAACAACAAAAAGTCTACATTCCCATCCATTTGCCAGCTGTTCTTAAACATCTTTTCTTCCTATTACATTTCCCTGGATATTTTAGCATTCTGTTATTTGGCGTGTTTATTCCCATTTCCTTTGCTCCTGATCATCTCCTTTCCAGGGGCACTTTTGCTTAGCAGCCTTGATGGCAGTTCCTCAATTATTTGGCCTTTATAATGTCTAATCTTCCTCCACACTTATTTAGGATCGGACTTGCAGTCTAGAGTTAGTCTCCAAATCAGTCCTTTTGTCTATTAAGTGAAACTGACAGGAAGTATAGCTTCCACTACAAACCATGATTTGATTATTTACCTTGACTAATCTAGTACGTTAATTAATAAAGAACAAACTCATAGACATATTTAGGCACAAGGGGGAAGGTTATTTGAAAGGGATGGCTCAAATAAATTCGTCTGAATTTAGAATCATTTTTTAAAAAAAGTTTTGTGAAACATCGCTTTCACTATGAAGTGTTCCTTTTAAGACATTCACAGTTGGGTGGCATATTACACAGTGAACATTTCTGTATGTGAAAATTGGATGACAGATTCAAAAAACCCACAGGTCATCTTAGGTCCTTCTTAATAGAAAGTTCTACACAGTTGCAGATTCTGTCATCAACCTTCTCCACATCAGTGGAGCATCCCTTTGTTTACCTGCCTACATGCTTCAGATTGCTTCTTTGTTTTGTCTCCCTTTTAAAAATTCTCAAAAAGTGCCTGCCGCTCAATTCTTTTGCAGGGAAATGTAAATTCAGTGTAGCGTGTAAAAATTGTGCTAAGGGTCCGCAGCACTGGATGCCAGGCCACGTATTTATCTTCCTTGACTGTCAGGGACACCAATAGACAGAGGATCCCAGGTCTCTGCCGAGGCAGTGGAAGAAATGCCAGTGCATTCAAACCACAAAACAAATGTCACAGTGTTTTGACAGTCATCTCTGAGGATGTATATTCTTTCCGGAGTATATAACTTAAATGTAATATGAAGATCTGAAAATGTGCTAGTGCCATTAATTCTAGAAGGGAAACATTCAGATATAAACATTTGTCCTTGATTTTATGTCAGGTAGGTTTTTCAGGTTGCACCTTTACCTTCTTAATTAGTATGCTATTTAAAAAAGAGTTGACTTTGGAGTCATCCTGGTGTTGCTACTTAGGAACATACATGACTGTTGTGCCTCAGTTTCATCATCTGTAAAATAGAAATAAGAACAAGATCTGCCTTATGGTTTTTGTGAGAAATAAGTGAAACAACATGTCAGGTGTTTGGCTATTTTCATCTCATTTTAAAATCCCAGGGTGATCTAAACATCAGTTTGCAGTCCTAGAACTTAATGCTGGAAAGGCAGAATGATATGAAATCCAGAGTCCCAGGGAGCAGGGACCCCTTATTCTAGTTCCGGGACTGGGCCCATCCTGCAATGTGACCCTGGCCAAGTCACTTTTATAGTTTCTATACACTGGAGTTCCTAGCTGCTATTAGCCACTGTATGCATTTCATTTTTATTAATTTTATAGTTATTTGGTGAATATCTGCTATATGTCAGGCATTGGGAATGCAAGATAAACAAGACAAGATAAACAAGATAAAAGTCCTCCCCTCATGATTTATATGTTCTGGGAAATAGAGAAAAAAATCTATATGAAAGAAGGCAGTGTTGGTGATAGAGAGTTGTCAGAAGTCTTATAGGGTGGGGATTATTTTTAGACAATGGATGGAAAAAGCCTTTCTGGTTGAGATGAGAATTCTGATCAGCATCGGACTTGTAAATTCCCATAGGAAGGTCAAGTATAATACTGATGTGGACTTGCAGCACAGGATGAATGAAATGTCTCTGCCCTCCAGTGTTGGAGGAGCTCTGAACAAGCACTAGACTGCAGCTGGCACAGACTGACACTATGGGAGTATGAAGAGATGCACAATTCAGCCACTGGAGCTCAGGAAAAATGCTGGGAAGGGTGACAAATTGAATCTGGCAAAACAAGTGGACCAGCAAGGTGGAGAAAGAGGAGGGGAGCCTTCAGAAAATGCATACAGGGCAGAGAGAACATGAAAGCAGTTAGTTGGGTAATGGATATTGTTGTACTTATTTAAGAATTATTAGGCAGAGAGAGTGATTCAGATGGTGATAAATAGCAGTGAATAAAAATTTGATCCTGATAATCAACAATTTGTATAATCCTTACAGTCTGTAGTGATTAGTGTCTTCACAATTAGATTATTTTATGATTTATGCTGTATACATCTATTTCAATTTCTTAAACATTTTGTTTACTGAAAACTCCTCAGTTTTGAATTTCAAGGTAATAGAAGACATAGACTAGGTTATCTATTTTGTGATTTTAGGGCCTGTCACACTACAAGGCCACCATACTTTGGAGAAGGGGATCGAGTTGATTATCATTTTATCTCTCAAGAAGTTTTCGATGAAATGCTCAACATGGTAAGGAGATTTTCCTATATTTTTATTGTATAAGTAATACATGTTCTAATTCAGAAATACTAGGAAATAGTGATTTTTTTTTAAAAGGGAAAAGTTAAATTTTATACTTGTAAGTCTCATTTGAGTTGAAATATTTTTGTTTTTTGTTTTTTTAGAACCTTGATTGTCTAGTCATTGGCAGTAAGGCACACTCCTTCGTCTTTGAATTCACTTTCTAAAAAACAATTTGTTTCTTCTTGGCTGGCCTTCATACAGAAAGGCAGTCCTCATAAGCTAGGATGTTTCATCTATTGAAAGTACGTGGGAATGTTAGTACATGCCCAGCCATGACTTCAGTTAAACTGTATCTTACAACTTTGTCATTGCTAATGAACCTGTAAGCCTCCTGCTTTTTCTTAACCATCAGCCTTATTTTTGTTTGTATTGTCCTTTCTGTTGTCACATGAATCCAACACTACTACTTTTTTTTTTTTTTTTTTTTTGGTACTGGAAATTGAACTCAGGCCCTTGCTCTTGCAAGGCATGCAGGGGCACCCCTGAGCTAATTCCGCCGCCCACACTACTACTTTTTTTTTTTTTTTGGTACTGGAAATTGAACTCAGGCCCTTGCTCTTGCAAGGCATGCAGGGGCACCCCTGAGCTAATTCCGCCGCCCACACTACTACTTTTTTTTTTTTTTTTTTTTGGTACTGGAAATTGAACTCAGGACCTTGCTCTTGCAAGGCATGCAGTGGCACCACTGAGCTAATTCCGCCGCCCACACTACTACTTTTTCTTCTAAAGCCTTCTTGAAGGTGCTAATCCATTTCTGGCCTTGAAAGATCACCATCCAGCTAGGGACATGGATAGGTACATCTTCCCTCTGCTCTGTCCCCTTCTCTTTCCTCCCTCCAGTCTTTGTCTTCCCCCTGAATAATGAGCCTGGCTTGTACCCTCAATGTACAGCATCACGGAACATTTAAGTGTCATGGAGCATTTAAGCTCTGTGGGTTCCATTAGCTCAGTTCTGGAGAAGCAACACTGTACATAGTGTGTGTTTCCAGGGTGTTTGTACTCACACAGAAGCACTAGGGAGAAAGTCTTACATTCCCTGGGCAGTTTCCCCTCTAATCTTGTCAAAAGCACATCATGGTCATTATAATTTTCTTTCTAAGTGCTCTATTTTGGCAATTAGTTGGATTTATTGAGTTCTCTGGAATTGTCTATTTCTAAAAACCTTAATAGAGAAAGGAGGAGTTATCTTGCTATTACAAAGAACCATTCTGTTAAGATCCTTTAAACAAGATGGGGCACAGTCAGTATGGTATAGCCATAGGCTATAACATTCTTTAGGTTGAAAGACAACTAGCTCCCAAAATTATTAGTTTTTCCTGTTAGACTCTGAGGTATTTTTCTATTGATTGAGTTCACTATTGTTGGGGACTCTGTGCTCCCCTCATGTTCCACACCTTATCAGGTTTGAAATCTGGTTCAGTTCCTAGTCTAAGAAATCACTATGTTTCCGTGTTATATTTAGCCTTGTAGTTTTACACTCTACAGAAATCCCCATGTGTTTCAGAAGTATTCATTTTTGCTGTTTCTGCTAACATATATTACTTAAATTTACTGTAATTTTCTTCTACTTGAATTTTGCCTCTAATCTCTTTTAACATGAGTGAGAATGTTTAAAAAGGAGATAAACTTAGGGTTATAAATTCATGGCATACTGTCAGATGCACCAGTCACACCCACGCACTTAGCTCTCTGTATGTAGATGCTTCTACACACTCACAGCTCCCACCCCGACAGCATGGCCCCCTTCAACAGATACCCTGGCCTAGCATTCCCCAGCCCCTACTGTGGATAGTCACACCTACTGGCGGTGACAAGCACAACATATGGACCTGCACCCTCCCATACCCATGGGTCTCCTCCAACAGATGCCTCACCCAGCCCACAGATTATTCCTGAGTGGCCCACAGACATCTGAACCCTTTTTACAGGCACATATGTGGTCACTTATCCACGGAAATACTCTCTGCCTTGTGGAAGTGAAAGCATAGACCTGGGAACTTTTGAAGTATGACTATTGTTATGTATGGAAATCCACATGCAGCAAGAAATGAAAGTATCGCAGCCAGAACGAGAGGACTACTTCATTTCAATGCTTAACAAATCAAATTAAATGGGATTTTATTTAGATAGATAGATAGATAGATTGATTGATTTCTCCCAATCCTACATCCATCCAAAAAGTGTTTTTGGCATCTACAGAAGAACATCCTTGTATGCAAACATATATCTGAGAAGTAATTCAGATATCTATACATTTTGAAAACAGGGCGTGAGAGTACTAGCCAGGTTTTTCCATGAAAACAGAACCAATAAGGTGTATGCATGAATATAGAAAGAGATAAAAGGACTTAGTTCATCTGGTTATGAAGATTGGCAAGCCGAAATCTGCCTGCCTGCAGCCTTAGGAAAGCAAATGATGCAGGTGAAGTCCAAAAGGTGACCTTTTTGTCCCATGAAGGTCTTCCCCTCATTAGTAAAGCCCACTCACATTGGGGAGGGAACTCTGCTGCACTCTTCACCAATTTAAATGTTAATCTCATCTCCGATGTCCTCCAAGTTGACACATAAAATTAACCATCACACACTGTAAAAGATAAAGCATATATACTTGGAAGGAAAGTTAGATATCTAGAGTTAGGGTTAGGGATCTATCTGTATCTCCACATATATATTTTATATATATGTATATATAAAGAAAAGGAGTCACAGTACTTTTTTCCCAAAGAACAGAGACAGTATGATATTGAAAAAGTAAAATTTTAAGCATTGTTTTGAGTTTGTACCTTTGGAAATCCTGTACATAACAAAAACTTCTTTTGATTTGGGGGGATATACATTTTCCTCATTGCCCATAGGAGACACACCTCGCAGAGACCCAGCCAATCCCAGGAGACATCCTGTGACTCAGGCCCAAAACCTTTCCCATGACAGATAGCCCATCCTCCATCTGCACACATCTCCAGCACACCTGGGCCCAGGAAGATAACAATAGACTCTTACCTGCTTGCTATTCTTCATGATGTTGCTGCCCTTTAGTGAGATTCAATGCAGCCCTAAAGTTCTCACTTCATTATTTGCTTTAAAGTCCTTCATATGAGAATTCACACTTACTAAGGTCATCCACATTTTTATTCCTTCTGTTGTCATCAGCCTTTCAGTTTACATTCGACTTAGTTAATAAATATACTATTGTCAAAGAAAAAATCACAAGCAATTTTGAGATAGGTGTTTTTTCTTGCATGTTTTGCAAGGGAGTACAGCTTCAGAAGAACTGAGCTTCTGGAATACAGAAGGGGTGGTATTTATTATTCAGATGACTATAGGGCAGACAACAATTCTGCTGAATAATATTTGGAGAAGTTTCAATAAAAAGCTATCTTTATGAGGGAAAATCATGGTGAGCCTATTTTTTAAACCTTTGAGGATATCCCTCCAGGAATTAGCCATAATTCACTCTTTATCTTGGAATTCAAGGATTTAGGGGAATAGGATCCTTTTCTAGACTACCTGGGATGTTGACAGAGTGAAATGGTGGAGGCAAAGAGCAGGCTATTAGTTTTACTGTCTCTAATGAAGGTTTGTGGTGCCAGTTTGGTGGAGAGTGGGTAATTCCAATGGTCTGTTGTACAGTAAGCTTCAGTCCTTAAACCTCCTCTAATTTTTTGTCAACAGATTATTTCCACAAACCTATTTTTTGTCAGCTGAGGATTCTGAGTAAATTTCTCTATCACAGTTTGATATTCAATTTCATAACCTTATCATATTGTCATTCTTATAGTTGCTAATATTTGTTAAAAATAAGAGATCAAATTATTTTATTTTACTCATCCTAAATTTCATTATGGCTGCCATTACATGAAAATCTTTGTACTTCTCAAATTCCAGGGGAAATTCATTCTAACATTTAATTATGGCAATTACAGTTATGGATTAAATAGGGACACCGTAGAAGGTATTGCAAGAGATGGTTTAGCAAGCTGTATCCATATGGAAATAGAAGTAAGTGTTTTTTATTCAATTAATTTAGCTCACGCGCGCACATGTGTGTGTGTGTGTGTGTGTGTGTGTGTTTGAAGGTAGATCTACAATTTGTAGGCAGCACAGTAGTAGACACAAAAGAAATGCATACCAAAGTGTTATGAGGTATTACATTTATAATTAGTGTGGGGCTGGCAAGACATGTAAAGAGTTAAGTGGCAGAATTTAGATCACAATTCAAGAAATTGTATATGTAGCGTGAGTAAAGTTGCCATTCAGGATTTATTTTCTTTTGTTTCATCACTAAATTATCAGTTTTCTTTTTACAGCATGGTCTCTGTTTATTTGAGCTGATGTTAGATAAAACCCGAGTTGGGTGCTGTGTGAACCTGGTTCCCTGTCCCTCAGGAGTAGTTGGTCACCCTGTTCCTTTGCTCTTCATGGGAAATGTGTGGGCTGTGCTGTCATGTGACTCCAGTTGCGCATGGTGTTAAATCTTTTATACTTCCAGCAATTTAGACTTGCAAGTCTCAGGAGATTTTTCTCTTTACACCCACCTACCAAAAAAAATCTTCTGAAATTAGAATATAAATACATTTTTTCAAAAATTAAGATCCAGAGTTAAATCATGAATTCTCACTCACTTTTTTACAAGTATATATTGTTATATATGCAGCTTTATAAAATACTTAAAATCTTCAGAGACAGTTTTTTTTCAAATACTTTCCCAGAATATTATAATAACACTTTTATAATAAAGACAATTCAAATAGACCATACTTAAAGAAAATAAAACCTAGGCAAGTCTGGTATTATTTTCCTATTAACTCTAACTCTTTCTGCATTTTCTTCTGTAACTTCACAGAGCAAGAGACTAAATCCTATTCTGCTCCTTGAAATGGTTTAATTCTTCTCTAGTTTCAAATGAACTTATTACATTTCTTCTAGCTTTTAAATCTTTTGTACAAACCTTCTGTTTCTGCAGTTGATTGGTTTTGTATCTTTAAGAGCGGGTTTTGTTTATTTCGACATTAATTAGTTTTTTTAAAAGGACCTATTAGAAAATATTTCTTCCTAGACAAAACAGAAACAAAAACGAATGCATTTTTGAGTGTAGAAACGCTCCATCTTTTTGTGTCTACCTTGTTTCCACTTCAGCAGTTATCTGAGTGATGGCTCCTGTTTTACTTTATTCCTCCTTGAGAGCTTCGCGCTACTCATTTCCAGGAGGTCGAGTCTATAAACCATGTTTTATTCCCCTGGTTCTCTCCAGCTGAAGTATTTCTTCCAAACTGCCCTTATTGTTGACTTTCCCAGAAACTGTTTTAAAAAGAGCTTGTATTTCTTCCTACTGAATTTTTAAAACAAAGATTTTGAGCTTGAGTTAAACTGATGATGATGGAAATGGAATAGAAGGAACTGTGCTTTTACCCATGAGAAAACCGATGTCCAGAGAGCTTGGGGGATCTGTGTAGAGCCTATAGGAATTGGAGAATGGTGGTCACAAACCAAGCTTTCCATATTTGTGGACCAGCAACCTGCATGGCTTCATGCTCTGACCTCCTGGTTAGTAGGTTACCGTGAGTTTGGTCTTCACAATTCTCTGTGGACAGAGGCTATCAGATGTCACTGGAACCAGCCCACCCAGGTTACTGGTTTAGGAACAGGAAGGGTCCCAAGCTGGTCACAGAGGCTCAACAAAGGAGTTTTTTTCCCCTGGTAATATCTCCTTGTGCTCCAGTGATGACATGTGATATACTGAATTGAAATTATTTTTTGGTAATTAAGCAGTACTAGCAGTACTGACAGGAATGTTACCTGTTTTATATCTAGCAGTTTTCTTAACAGTTATATTCATTAGCATGATTAATTAGAAGACAACCAGGAGGAATGAATTCTAATATTTGCAGTGACAATTTAATATTTAATGAAGAAAGAAAAGTAATCCAAGTTTGAAATATTCATAGAAAATAATGGCTAATTCTACAAACAAAATAAATTATTCAGTATAGTATTTATTATACCTGTGTTGTCAGATGTCTCCAAAATGATTTCTAAATCATGTGTCTGTATCCAACTCATCTTTCCTTTAAATACCTAGGGTGTAAGAAGTTTGAAATTTTCCTATTTTGAGCCTCGATATATCTTGGTGGTACCCATGAATAAAGAAAAATATGAGGGATACTTGCGGAGAAAAGGATTATTCAGTCGTGCAGAAGTTGAATTTGCTGTCTCCAGAGTGGACCTTTATGTTAAAATTAATCAGAAATTTCCAGGTTATTTTGATGCAGTAATCAATGCAGGTCAGTAACTCTCAGTAGATATATGGGGTCACTGGATTAAGTTTATTTCGTGGAAATAAAATACTTAAGGGAAAAATATTATTTGAAAAGAGCTGCAAAAGAGGTAAAAAAAAAAGTACACAAGATCTAACTTTCCAATGTTTTAATCGGAGTATTAGCTTTATTATTCTGAAAGATCTTAACTAATAAGACTTAGCATAAAATGGGCCAGGAATAGGTTCTTTCCTTAGGGATATGGTGAGAATAAAGTTAGATAATATATAATTTGAAGTAGACATTTAAATTTTTAGGAAGGCATATGAAACTCAAGCAGTTTTTATCATAATCTACCTATAGTTAAAAACTGAATTACTAAAAATATAACCATAAAAATATCTATATAAAACAAACATTTTCAAAATTTAACTTATAAATGGCTACTTACTTGAAACAATAGTCAGTGGGAGAATTTCTTGGAATATAGAAATTTATACATATTTTAAAACTGTATAATGTTTTATATCCATAAAAAAGAATGAGAAAACATTGTGTATAGATAAGAAATTATCTTTAAATCATATTGGTACTTTAAAATTTCTGATTTATAACCATAGGTATAATATGTTATAATTTATATAAAAAAAGTTTAACTGTATTTTCTTGTACTTCTATAGGAAAATATTACTGGTAGAATTCTCAAAAAAACTAATACCGATTACTTTTTTTGGTCGGGTACTGGAGAGATGAGGGATGATAAGCTGAATCATGAAATTGCTGATATTCAACTTTTTTGACCCATAAAAACAATTTCATACAGTTCAACTTAATACTTTTTGGTCTTTAAAACTTGTTAAAGTATTACATATTCATATTGGATTTTTATTGCTGCATAGAAATGATCATACTTAGTGGTTTAAAATAATACCCATTTGTTAGGGCACAGTTCCGGGTTAGGAGTGTGGTACAGTGTAACTGGGTTCTCTGCTCAGGGTATCAGCAGTTAGCAGGGCTGAGTTCTCCTTTAAAGATTCTAGGGAAAAATCTGTTCTAAAGTTCACTCTTGTTGCAGAATGCAGTTGTAAGGGATACTGTTGGATTGCTTATGCAATATCTCTTACAACTGTCCAGCCCTTGCATATTGTTCTAAAAACTAAAGTTTAAATTTTCATGTTATTGCCTGCTAGATGTGCTGTTCTTTGGTAGAAAATTCCCATTGTCTGTATTCAAGAAGTGCCTGAAATTGATTTGTGTTGGTTTTTAATTCCATCTAATAAATTATATGTTAAAAAAAAAAAGAATGCAGTTGTAGGACCAATGGCCCTGTTTCCTTGTTGCCTCTCTGCCGAAGGTTGCCTTTAGTCCATAGACACCACTCCCGAGGTTTTATTGTCTAACCAGTTACTCACTGCACAGCCAGTCCTCTTTGTGCTTTGAGTCTCTGACTTTGACTTCTGCTAACAGCTAGAGAAAACCCTGTCCTTCTATGCAGCTCATGTGATAGAGTGAACTCAGATAATTTCCCTGTTAACTAGCTCAAACTCTTTAGTAACCTTATTTGCATCTGCAAAAATCCCATATAATGTAACATAGTCACAGCAGTAACATCTCATTAGCTCCTCGGGATCTCTGCCTATGCTTAAGGGCAGAAGATTATACAAAGGTAAAACGTTATTTGGGTGATCTTAATTTTGCCTGCCACTGTATTCATAAAATTAAATGTAGTGATCAAATCAGGACCACCAGCAGTTGGACATGGAGTGTATTTTGACATGATCCCATTGCATTAAAATAAATCTTTCATTTACTGTAGATGATTTGGATGTTGCCTATGAAAAGCTAAGTCAGCTCATTAGGGAATACCTGGGATTGGCTGAAGAACCTGCCAAAGGTCTGGCTCCAACTACAGGTACTATCCCATTTCCCTTGTGCCAGGAATTTTTTTTTCATGGAAAAAATGCCAATCTGTGAGTTATTTGAGTACATATCAGCCAAAGTAGAGATAGTTTTAACTCTTTAACAACTATTCTTCTGGGGTGATCGTTCACACAAACAAACCATATGAATCAGCCCTGTAGACCTGTCTGTAACCACTTGTCTCCATGGCTATAATGGAGTTCATGGGACTGTCCTTCAGAGACATGTGGGGCAATCCCTTGGAAGGGTGCAGTCGATAGGGTTGCCTTGTGGTTTAGAACTCAGCCTTCCAGAAGCTTATTCCCTTACAGGGAAGAGGTGTGTGGTTCTATTCATCAGGTTTAGATTTAGTCAGGAGCATTCATTCCTCTCTTCTTTGAATCGCTCTTTCCTCAAAATGTTGCACTGCAGCCAGATAACCAGATAAAGCACACTGGCTGGATAATGCTGGTGCTGACGCCCGAATTCTCTTGGGTAAATATCTTATCTGCTGTGAGTTTGAGTTTTCTTTCCTGCTAAATGGACTTCTGGCTACCCCTGTTCTCACCTAATGGATCAGGAGCAGCAAATGATGTAGAATATGAGTGCATCCCATTGTAATCTAGGATTTCTAGGCTTAGAATTTCAGTATATAAGTATTTTTTTAAACTGATATATTTGTATTTTAGTAGTGCATGTTCGCAGTACATGATTGCAGTTATCATGGGGAGTTTGTACATGTACATAATGCATCTTGATTCTTTTTTTTTTGTCCCTTTTCCCTCCCATCCCTTCCTGCTCCTTCCAACTCTTAATCCTCTTCCCATTTGAAAAAGCTCTATTCCCAATTTGTTCTTTGATTCTCTTTTTTAAAATCCTTTTTCCCTTCCTCCCCATCCCCATCTCATGTTCCCCTTCCCACTTTAAAAAAATTTGCCTACTTCCTATTATCTAACCTTTACTTTGCTCTTAACTTATATTTTGGGTTTCTCATATAAGAGAAACCATGTGATATTTAAAGTTTTATGTCTGATTTATTTCCCTTAACATGATGGTCTCGAGGTACATTCATTTACCTACAAATGCCTCAGGTTTATCTTTCCTTATGGCAGAATAGTACTCCATTGTGTATAAATGTCATATTTTTATTTATCACTCATCTGTTGAGGGATATATAGGCTGTTTCCAAGACTTAGCTATTATAAATTATGCTGCTATAAACACAGGTATGCATGTATTACTGTAATATGATGACTTTAACATGGGAAGATTGCTAGAAGAGAAATAGCTGGGTCAAATGGAATTTCTAGTTAGTTTTTTGAGGAATCTCCATACTGATATCCATAGTGGTTGTACTAGTTTACATTTCAATCAATAATATAGAAGGGCTTCTTTTTCCTTTACGACCTCACCAGCATTTGTTATTATTTGATTTCTTCGTGATAGCCATTCTTTCTGGAGTAAGATAATATCTCATTGTTGTTTTAATTTGCATTTCTCTAATATCCAATGATATTGAACATTGTTTTGATGTATTTGTTGGCTATCTGTACTTCTGAGAAGTGACTACTTCAGTTGTCCATCTTTTTGATTGGGTCTTTTATTTTGGCAGGATCTAATTTTTGGAGTTCTTTACATATTCTAAATGTTAGCCCTTTGTCTGAGGAGTAGCTAGAAATTTTTTTTCCCATTCTGTAGGTTGTCTCTTCACTCTCTTAGTAGTTTCCTTTGATGTGGAGAAGCTTTTTAATTTGATATGAGCCCATTTGTTAATTCTTGGTATTATTTCTTGTGCCATTAGGGTTCTGCTGAGAAAGTTTATGTATGCCTCTGTGTTCAAGATTTTTACTTATTTTATCTTTCCAGCAGATTGTTTCTGTCTTAACATTTAGATATTTGATTTATTTTGATTTTAGTTTAATACATGGTGAGTTATGTGAATCTAGACTCAATCTTCTGCGTGTGGATATCTAGTTTTCCTAGCACCATTTATTTAAAGAAACTATCATTCATGTAGTTCATGTTTTTGGCCCCTTGTAGAAGATCAAATAGTTGAATGTGTCTAGGGTTCTTTCTGCTTTCTCTGTTCTGTTCTACTGAGCCACATGTCTGTTTTTGTGCCACTGCCATGCTATTTTCATTACTGCAGCTTTATAATATAATTTCAAATATGGGATTGCAAAGCCTCCTATGTTGCTATTGTTACCCAGACATGATTTTGCTATTCAAAGTTTCTTCTGGTTCCATATTGATTTTTGGATTGTTTTCTTTAGAACTTTGAGGAATGCTATTGGTATTTTAACTGGGATTACATTAAATCTATGTATCAGTTTTGGAAGCTATTTTGACTATACTGATTCTGCCTATACAAGAACATGGGAAATCTTTCCATTTTCTGATTTCCTCTTCATTGTGCTTTTTCAGAGTGAGGTAAGTTTTATCAGAGAGATCTTTCACATCCTTGGTCAGGTTAATGCCTAAGCATTTAATTTCTCTTGATGCTAATTTGAATAGTATTGTTTTCCTAATTTCTTTCTCAATGAGTTCATTATTAATATATAGGAATGCTATTGCTTTTTGTGTGTTAATTTTGTATTCTGCTGTATTGCTGGACTTGGTTATTAATTCTAGGAGTCTTTCAGTGGAAATTTTTAGATCTTGTAAGTACAGTATCATAATCATCTGCAAATAATGATACTTTGACTTCTGCTTTTTCTATACATGTCCCTTTTATTTCTTTCTCTTGCTTGATTGCTGTAGCTAGCGTTTCAAGGACTATGTTAAAAAAAGAGTGGTGGTAGTGCACATCCTTGTCTTGTTCCTGATTTTAGAAGGAAAATTTTCAGTTTTTCCCCATTTAATATGATGTTGGTAGTGAGTTTGTCATAAATGCCATTTATCAGATTGAGATAAGGTCCTTCTATACCTATTTTCTTCAGTTTTAATAATGAATGGATGTTGAATTTTGTCAAAGGCTTTTTCTATCAGTTCCGTGTATTGTGATTTCAGTTCTTGCTTCTGTTTATGTAAATGAATTACATTTATTGATGTGTATATGTTGAACTATTCTTGCAACCCTGGAATAAAACCTACTTGGTCATGTGTGTGATCTTTTGGATAATTTGTTGTATTCTGTTTGCCAGTATCTCATTGAGGATTTTTGCATCTATGTTTATTAGAGAGATTGGCCTCAGAGTTCTTTTTTGGTTAGATTCTTGTCTGGTTTTGGAATCATGGTAATGCCAGCTTCCAGGAATGACTTTTCATTTCATTGAAGAGTTTCAGGAATATTGGTGCTATAGCTCTCTAAAATTCAGTAGTAAATTCATCAGGTCCTGGGCTTTTCTTAGTTGGTAGGGTTTTATTACTGTTTAAATTTTATTTCCTGTTAATGGATCACTCGAGATTTTTAAGTCTTCTTGGCTTAGTTTTGGTAATTCATATGTATGTAGGAATCTCTCCATTTCTTCTTAATTCTCTAATTTATTGCTATACAGGTTCATGAAGTAGTTGGTAGTAATATTCTGGATTTTACCAGTGTCCATTGTGATTTTGCCTTTCTCATTTCTAATTGCACTGATTTGTGCCTTTTCTTTCCTTTTTTAAAATAAGATTGGCTAAAGGTTTATCTATGTTGTTTATTTTTTCAAAGAACCAGCTCTTTGACTCATTGATTCTTTGTATTTGTATTAAAATGTTTCTCCAAATTTACGTCACACTTACTAAAATGGCTGCTAAAGAAAAGTATAACAAGACAACAGAAAATGACAAGTATTGGTAAGGATGTGCACTGTTTGGGGGAATGTGGTACAGCTGCTATGGAAAATAGTATGGTACTTCCTCAAAAAATCAAAAGTGATACTACATATGGCTTAGCATTTCCACTCTAGACACATACTAAAAGAACTGAAGGCAAGATCTTGAAGAGACAGTTACATCCCTGTATTCATAGCAGCATTATTTACATTAGCCAAAATACGTGTCCAATCTCAGTGTCCACTGAGTGAATGAATAAGGTAACATTCCATTTCAAAACAATGGAACGTTATTCAATCTTAGAAAGAAATCCTGACATATGCTGCAACATGGATGGACCTTGAAGAACTCACTCGAAGTGAAATAAGCCAATCCAGAAAAATAAAAATGGCAAATGCTTTCCGATTCCACATAGGTGAGGTACTTCACATAGTCAAACTCATAGACATAGAAAGAAGGGTATTTGCCAGTGGCAGGGGGAGGGTGAGAAAAGAACATTATTGTTTATTGGGTGCAGAGTTTCATTTTGGAAAGATCTCTGGAGATGGATGATGGTGATGGTTGTACAACAGTGTGAATGTATGTATGCCATTCATCTGTATGCTTTAAATGGTATCTTTTATGCGTATTTCACTACAATAAAAACGTCCCCAGTGGACTGAACTCTATTCACACTTTGCAAAATATGAGCATTACACTCTTGCTGCTTTGTTGATCCGATGCAACTTTGTAGTTTAGTTTTTGTGACTGTTCAAATATGATTTTGTTTACTCAGTTGGATTCTGGGAGACTGAGAGAGACCAGGTCATAATTTTGCCAAAGTTTAAGCCAACTATGCTATTTTTCAATTTTTTGCACACTTTTGCTAGGTCAAGTGCCCTTAGTATTTTGGAATGAGATTAGTGTGAAAGTGGTAAAAAAAAAATCAACAGAAAATGACTGAGAATTTCTTTCTGTGTATGTCTCATAAGAGATTAAGTGACCAAGGTATAACCTGCCAACTAGAAAGTACCTGAAGAAAGTTCAACATGTCTAAAAGTCGGCATTATGGACGTGTCAGTGTATCTGTTCAACCCCGCTCTGATTCTCTACACCAAGCACAATTCTTTACAAAGCTATGGCTATTGATTAGAATAGAGCAGTGTACCTAATGAGGGTTCCATGGTTGCATAGAACTTTCTCTTGAGGAAATCTGGCTCCCTATGCTTTAATTCTTTGCTATCTAAGCAACCTTCTGATCTTTAATTTGGTCCTCTGAGTGGATCTGCCCCTGTGGGAACTGTACCATACGTTAGAACAGCCTACCCTACTCCCTGAGCCTAACCTACCTCCCATTGTAAATCAATAAGTTGGTGTGCTGGCTTTTACATCAACCTCCCGTGGTTTTGAATAAACATGCATCAGTTCCCAGAGCTCAACTAGTTTGAGTAGCTGAGAATGTGGATTTCTGAATCAGTGTCTCTGAATAGAGATGCATGAGCAAGACTCAGCTTTAACAGATAGAAGAAACTCCATCTCTTTATTTTGTATCTTTCTTTATTCTACAACAATCAGGAATATTGACTATTGGATGCATTTGCCATTTGGCAAATTAATAATGTGTGCATAGGAAAATGGACTTCCATTTTAAGAGTATAATAAAACTTTATTTATATGGACTAATTAGGTTAGGGCTATCTGATTTAATGAAAGATATGAATTATAGAATTATAAAGTTTATAACTCTCAGATACATTTACTAACTGAACCTGAGCCATCTAGTTATTAACTAATAGAATTCCAGCTTGAAAAGTAGATGGGAAGGATTGCAGTTAATATATCAAATACTAACTTCATTAGACCTTTGCTTTCCTGGCAGGCTTAATATTTTGGAAAATAACATGTTTTCTTAAGCTAAACACTTAGCATTAGTTATTAGTTAAGTGAGTATTTAAAATATCCCAGAGAAACATAGTGCTTAGTATTATGTTTTTAATGGTGACTCTAATGAGTTTCAGGATGGAAATCTGTTGTGGCAGGTGTGTGTATATGTGTGATATTTATAGGTTCAGCACAAGAGAATGAAAATAGGGCCCAACCATAATTACCTTAAAAAAAGTCAAGTCTCCCTGGAAAGGGGCACAGGACCCACAGGGCCACTGTTCTGGGTTTGGCTGGTTTCTTGCTTGCTCCTTTGCTTCTACTCCAAACTGGGTCACTCAGATATGAAGTTCTATGATTTAGGTATATTTACCCAAATACTTTATAGTACTTACATAAGTGAATCTCCTCAAAATAAAAAGCAACAATTTTAATATAGTGGAATTGTTTTATGTAAAGAGTTCAGCTCTCCAAGGGGAGAAATAAAAAATATTTTTAATTCTCTGAAAAACCATTTGGCCTAGCAATGAGAAACCAAATGGAAAATATGATACCTTGCTTTTATACTTTAAATCTAGCCAGTAATCACTAATTTGATTCAAGAAATGATTTTAAAAACCATCTTTTTCTTAAAAATAGAAAACTGAATATTACAGGACATCATTAGCCTTTCAGAGTTGAGGTTTTCCCCAGTTGTATTAAGCCATCTGTGTGTTTAGGCTTTGATACAAACACTTTTTATGGCCAGCAGAATCATCTTTCTGAAAGAGATAATTTTATGTCAAAACAAAGTAAAGATAATTCCCAAATATTTGAAATTAAGACAAATAGTTTTATCCTTAGTAATTATATGTTGCTAGTTTGTAACTGAGAATACAATGCAACTGTAATTTCTACTATTAACAGTGAGAATAGAAAAAGGGATAAAACTAAGCCCCAAGGCCTATCACTTCTGAGTACAAGCATCTGTCAGCCTAAATCCAGAATGTGAACCTTCACCAGTGGACACATTAATTGAATTTTCATTTAATGAATGTATAAAATAGCTTTAGGCACAGAGTGATGTTAAACTAAGGAGATCATTAGATGTACTATTAAAGTACATAGCAATTTAGGTATGGGATTGTCTTATTTTTTCGCCTATAGTAATATAGGTAGCATTTGTTTCTAAAGCATGAAGATCTAAAAAAGAAAATCCCAACTAAATAATATAATTTCTATAAAATAAAGAAAAACATCACTATTTTCACAACTGAGTGTTAAGAGATGTCTTTCTCTCCCTTTGTCTCTAGACAACCTATTTCTGGGATAGTTTGTGCTTTCAATAAAGATTTTAGAAAGCCATCGCCCTGAGTTCTTGCTGTAAAGATCATGAAGTGAAATTATATTTGCAAATCATTGTTCAGAATTCTGACTAATGGTAAAAAAATGATGATATTAATGTTAAGGCAAACAGAGGAAAATTGAACACTTACTAGCCCCTACAGTGGTGCCCTTAATAAAAGGCACAATATCATTTGGCAAATTATATGTGTTGATAAATAGTGAAAGTAGGAAAATCACTGTGTCTGTGGGAAATGAAAGAGATTAAGGGGAAAAAACCTTCATCTTTGGGTTTCATTCTTCTTGTATTTTTCTATCTTTAAATTGTAAAAAAAAGTACATATATACACATAAATATATATATAAATGTATACATATACAGAAACATATACATACATGTGTGTATTTGCATGTCTATACCTATTATATGTATTACTATTTGTCATTTCAGCTATATTAAATGTATAATTCAGTGGCATCAATTATATTCTCAATATTTTATAACCATCACCACTATGTATTTGTACAGTCTTTCATTATCCAAAAACAAGAACTGTGTGCCCATTAAATAATAAATCCCCCTAATGCTTGATAACCTCTAATCTATTTTTTGTTGTCTGTGAATTTGCCTAGTTGAGATGTTTTCACTAATTTATGACTTACTTTAACCTTGATTCTTACCTAATTCTTAACCATTTTAGTTTATACTTGTTATACAAACTTGGAAGATAAGAATGATAAGCAGGGCATATGCCCAGGAACTCTACCAAGAAGGCTGCTCTTCCTTGTTCTCACTCTCCTCTCCCTCCGAGAGGACATTTGGTGTGGCTGGATGCAGGGAGGGTCCAGACTAGGAGTCTCAGGGTAAACTCAGAGTAGTGCTAGTCTATTTTCTTTCAGGGAAGGGGGAATGGTTGCTAGGAGTGTAGTTTGCTGCTGGGGATGGACCACTTTGGGGTCTCCTCAGAGGTCTTCTTTGGTTTGGAATCTCTGAGCATCAGGTCTCCTCCAAAATGAGCTGAGATGCATTTCTTCGAGGCTAATCCAGACTGGTGTGCCACATCTGATAACTTGACATTTAGCTGTGTTTGGGGGGCTGGGTTAGGATGATAATTAGGTCACCAACCTATATCAGGACTTCTATCATAAGCAAATTATGTCCATGAAACCAGTCAGTCTGAAAACTCGTTCTCGTGGTGACAGGAGGAAGCGATGCTTCTCTGCAGTGTCACCATCACTAGTGGCCTCAGAGACCCATCTCTGAAGCCAGAGTAGACAGTGGGGAAGGGGAGACCTGGGGTTCAGAGTGGGGATGGGTGGTAGCTGCACAAACTGTAGGTTCTCAGGAGCAGCTTCTTTGAGCCACACTGCCTTGTGATTTCACGGGACCCATTCTTTCCTCCCTTCTTCACTCATTACTTATTGAATTCCTGCTGAGCTCCACACCCTTTACTAAGCATTGGTAAACAGGCATCACTCCTCATAGAGTTCAGAGATTACTTAAGAGGACCACTATAACTGAGAAAACAAGAGGGATCTCATCTGGCTTAGATGCCCATCTTCTAATTTTTACAGTCAAAAACAGCATTAATCTGTAAAGTGGTGAAAATTTAAAATCGCATTCATATGAAAAATTTCCTCAGTACCCACAGACAGTCCCACACACTTGGGTCTATGCATGTTTTAAGTTGACTAAAATTGTTCTGAGGTCTATTAAGTAAAAGAATTATGGGTAATTATTATCCCAGGGAGAAGGGAAGGTTATGTTCTCTTATGTGTGATTTTATTCTTTTTAATTTAAGGATCTACATGCCTCACAAAAGGGAAATAAGTTTTTAGTAATTAATTTCTAGACAGTTAAGACTGCATTTAGCTAACTTGTTTTTATATTAAAGCAGGAGCCCCCTCTAGCAAGAAGACTGCCTCTGGGGTACCAGCACACCTGGTTCCCTCCCCTAGGCGCCTGGCGAAACTGCAAGCAGATGGCCAGATAACCGAGCATCTTTCTGGGCAGGTTCATATAAAGGTCCCAGAAAATCAAGAGCTGGCCCAGGAGGGAGAAACCCAGAAGAAAGAGCTGTCTCCCAGTAGCCTCATCTCTTCAGAGCCCACCCATCTTCCCAGCTCACCAGCACTTGGTATTCCTCAGCAGACCCTGGACGTATCCCAACACCCAGTGGAAGAGGGAGCTCAACAGTCAGATCTTTCTCCAAAAATAACAACCACTGAGACAGATGTCTCTGAAAGCAAGGCCCAGCCCTCGGAGGTGGAAGCAGATGGAGGAGAGCAGTCATCTATTACCACTTCCCACGTGCTGCCTCAACACCCTGACCCTCCTCCACCCTATGGGCCTCATTCACACCAGGATGAGGAATCAGGAGAGGCCAAGGTAGCTCCCAGCAGTCCTCCCCCATCTGAACCTTCACACGGCCCAGCTTCTCTCAGCCCTCAGAAAATCCAGGATGTAGAAACTGAGTCCTCCAAACCCACGCCCAGCAGTTCCCACCAGGATCTTCCAGAAGATGCTTCCCACCCCGACTCGATGAAGAAACTTGGTGGAGGCTCTCAACCACCTCTGAAGGAGGAAACCCCCCAGGCAGGAGCAGCCCGGGTCAGTACTCCTTTCCCGGAACTGCCACCTCCCCAAGACTCATCCACGCACACAAAAGAGACCCAGGACAAGGAACACCCAGTGGCTTTGCTTTCCAGAAGACGGCTGGCTCCTACCAGGCTGCCCCAGCCTCGGACCCTTGCACCCCTCCAGAGCAGGAGGCCCACCCCCAAGCTCCTCTCACCCAGCAGGGAAGAGGCTGCTGGAACATGCTCAGATCAAGCCATGACTCCTTCTCCCAGGCCTCTCCCCACTCAGGAAGCAGACTCCGGTAAGCTTCCTGCCATCAGTCCTCCCCATGCCAAACTTCCCCCAAATCTGAGCTCCCACACCACCCACACCCCTCAAGAGGCCCAGGAAGAAAAAGTCAGTGAGGTAAGACTCCCTCTTATCAGTCCCTCTGTCCAGGACCAAGCGCCACAGCACATCCCCAACACATCCCAGGAGGATGCTCCCACTGTCAGGCTCCCTAGAATTCCTACTCCTTTCACCGAACCACAGCTACCTGGAACTACAGAAGCTCACTCTGATCCAAAGCCTGCAAAGGAAAGGAAAGCTCCCAAAGCAGGCCATCCCTCCAGCAAGAAAATCCCAGATATGCAGGCTTCCCCTCAAAGCCAAAAGCCCATGCCGCAGAAAGGAGCTAGGAAAAAAAAACTCCCTCTCCAAAGAGACACAACTAAAGGCCCAGCACATCTGAGTAAGGCACCATCTGGAGGCAAACAGATGCTACTGCAACCGGAGTCTCCTAGCGAACCAGCTCCCACAAAGGTGCCTGACCATCCCAATCCCAGCCCTTCTCTAAGCCCCCAGGGGAACGAGAGTCAACAAGTCCACATGCCAGGAATTTCTGAGCTACCCCACACTGAGCCACAGCCCAAAGACCTCCAGTCACAGGAAGAGAAAAGGGAAAAAACACATCATTCCAGAAAAAAGACCCAGACTAACCTGCCCCCAAGTGAATCCAAAAAAGGACCATCTTTGAAAAGAGAGATTTCTCAAGGATTATCTAAAGAAAATGAAACTGCCCTCAGTGGTGAACAGCCAATTCAAGAGGGTCTGCCTGCTCAAAAAAGACCCCTACAGAGTGAAAAGGACCCCACAGAGTCAGTACAAGGCCATCCTTCTCCTGTGGAACATGCAGGAAAGAGAGACCAGGTCCACAACAGGGAAAAGTCTCAGAAGAGAGAAACTGTGTTGGAACCACCAGAGAAAAAGAGTGTGTCCCACAAAGGCACTAGTCGGATCAGAGAGAGCTCTGTCCAAAGGGATAGTGCACCTGCTTCCAAGCCACAGACCAAAGATAAACAGACCCGCAAAAATGGGGGCACAGCACAGGACAAAAGCATTGCTGTTTCCCAAGGTCAGGTGTCAGCCAAGGAGCAGGGCAGCCGGATGGGACGACTGCGAGCCAGGGGCAGTCAGAGCACCAAAGTGTGACCCCCGCCATGGAGCTGCCAGGTTAAAGTCTGTTACCCCACAACTGAAAAACTATGATGAGGGTGCTCTGAGCCACACATTGGCTTCCTCTGTAACCACAGGTCACCTCAGTGAGAGGGGCCAGTCTATGATGGCCAGCCAGCCGGAGAGAGTCTTTGCCCTTTCATTTCACCATTGTGGTGGGAAAAACAGTCCTTTCAGAGAGAGGCAGCAGCAGGGGAGACAGTGAGGTCAATTGCTGCCAACCAACAAGGCGATCCTGAAGGCTAATACCAGCAAGGAGCCTTTATATCCAGAGACAAATAAATTCCAACAGCAGCTCCAGCTCTGGCTGGAGCAGAGCCAAATTGCCATTATGTTTTACATTCGGAACATTCATTTCTAGATTAGAAAATGTTCTCATGCCTCTCACATTATTGAGGGGCCCTGAACCAACAGAACTATGAAAAAGTTCTGTTTCCAGAGATTACCAACCTATGGTTAATTTGCTCCCCACAGGGAGGAGATTACATCTTTGCATGCAGGGCTCTGATCAAGTGCTTCAGCTCCGCATTGGCCTATGTTACCTGGAACTTCCTTTTGTTTGAAATGTATTTCAGAATGAATACCTTCCTTCTCTCTTCGAACAGGAATCTCATATAAATTGGCCTGTGCCTCCATTACGCCAAACCATTTGGTTGAATGAGTTGGAAAAATTAATGGGGGAAAAATTCAGGTGAATCAGTTTTTCATTTATCTATTCATGTCTATTCTGTTCTGTTTCTGGCAAATGACCAGAGACCAGCTGGGGCCAGCGCATGTAAATCTGTTAGAAGGACGTGGAGTATTTTGCATAACCATACTTTGGGGAGGGTAAGGATGCAGCAGATTCTCAGGGAGATAAAGAACCAAATACTGAACATCGCCAAGATTCTTATATTTTGCAGGACTCTTGTCATCTTCCAGATTCTTGTCTAGGTCTTGCATCATTTCTTGTATCTGTTTCTTCCCACTACATTGGCTTCATTCTTTGAACTACAAATGACCTTGTATCTTGTTTCTATTCATGGCAGGGAACATGGCCACCAACAGATCTCAAGTTTATAGATGGATTTATTTCTGGCAATTCTCACTACTATAAAGGGTCTAATTGGAATGTTCCTTCGTCCTTAGATTTAAAAAAAACACAAACAAAAACAAAAAAATGAGGAAAGACTGATTGGCCTAGCTTACATCATGTCTTCATTTGTAAATCAATCTACTGTGGCCAGGTCATAGTTACTTCTTGATATAATTCATTGGTTCTGTTCCTGTGAATGGAGACTACATCTCAGAAAAGAGAATAATTGTGAACAAAACAGCCAACCCGCAATTCTGCTCATAAGGAGTTATGTCTATTGCAAATTTGCTGTGTATATAGTCAACATGCTAATCTGCGTTTGGCTTTCTGTATTTTTAAAATCTAACTGATGACTAAATGACTGTATGGATGCATCTTGTCTTATATAAATGATGTATGTCCACAAAAAGCTGTATGAATAGCAAATGTTACTTCAAGTGCAATAGAGGGAATATCTAGGACATGGGAATTATCATATAAATAATTTCTTTTAACTATGTATTGTTGGTAATCTTCCTTTGATTTGTTTTATCCAAAATAAAAGTTATAGGGTGATTTTTAAAAGCATGCCACAACCATGTTTATTAGGTCATTAATACAGTGCATTTACTGAGCATTTCCTGTGTGCTATTCTGTGATGTTTGCTGGATACAGTAGAATGATAGAGACCCTTCAAGGGAGACAAAGAGGTTAATGATGCTGCCAAGTAATTAGAGCACCTGGAGACCCCACAGCATGTTAAGGTAATATTTGGCATCCTACAGACAATAAAACTCATTTATTTACTTTTCCAAACTGTCTTAAGGATACCCATGAAGGACACCGAATCCAACCTGGTATAGGAGAATTGTCAACTGAGAATTGTCAATTGTTCAAACGAGTCTTCAGGTTGCAGACCTGCTCAGCTTCAGACAAATGGGGAGATAACTTTCTTTTAGAAGAGGGAACAGCATATACCTAAGTAAACACAGAAGTACAAGCAGCTGTCATGTTGTGAGCACCCAAATGCCAGGAGAGTTGTAGGTCTGTGTAGATCCAAAGGGCCATGCTAACGAGGTTAGAAACTTGATCTTGTAACAGTGAAGGATTCCTGAATGGTTAAATTTGTATCTTAGAGGCATCTTTCTGGAGGTGATGTAAGGAACAAAGAAAGTTAAGGAGGGCAACTGGAGGCAAGAATGGCTGGCATGCTATGGCAGTAGTTGGTAAGGCAGTGGCTGCAGGAAGTTCAAATCCTAGATTGGATGTGCCTAGCTTGGATGTGGGAGAGGGGGAAATATGAGCTTGTAGGGACACATTAGAAGTGCCCTTGCCTTACTTAGACGAACTTTAGAAATTTATTTTCTTTGGCATCTGTGTTTGAGGTATTTGGACTTGCATTTTTATTAGTGTTAAATGGGAAGCACTAAGTAGATTTTTCATCTGATTCAGTGGAAACTCACACACCCCTCACCCCTTTATCTGGCATTCGTAAGGCTAATAGTTTTTGTTTGTGTCTCTATTTTGATAAATCATAAATTATTGTGAAATTCAGTGCAGCTGAACAACATTTTTTTTGTAGTCCAAGGAAGTAAGTCGAAGAGACTGTTAACCTGCCTCTGATGAGAGGATTTTATTGATGTTACTGATGGATGTAAGGGAAATTTCTAATCTTCAATGTAGAATGTAGATATTTAAAAATTACCATTTCTCATCTACATTAACAGGCAAAGTTCATATCAGTTTTGCTTAACATGTTTCTTAACAAAGTGGTCTTTAGAGGGAAAATACATTGTGGATTTAAAGTCACAATATTAACAATATTGTCTTCAGCTTCGGAGAGACGTCTGGCACCTACTATTAAAGTCAATAGAGACAGCAGTTCCACCAGGTATCACAGCCTTCTTCAAATATTTAATAACCTAAATCAATTATTTTCAAAATCTTAAAGGATAATCGGAGAAAGGCCTGATTAAGTGATTCACAAAGGAGGAAGTGAAAATGTCCAGTAAATATGTTGAAAAGTATTTAACCTCATTATGTGAGAACTTAATAGACTTGTATTTTTGAAACCAAGTTGGCAAAAATGAAAACAGATTAATGTCTACGTTAGTGAGGTTTCTGTGTCATCAGTTGGAAAGTACATTGGCACACTTTTGGGCAGTTTTCCAGTATCTGTCAAAGACTCGAAACTGTATATTTTTAATCTAGTGGTTTTAAAACCAGCAATTATCATGAGGAAATCATTATGTGCAAGGATGTACATACCAATTTTTTATATAAAAAATCTCAAAATAATCTAGTCATCTAATGAGAATTTAAAAATAAGTTATGGTACAGCCATATGCTAGGGTTCTATGTTATCATTTTAATTATGTTTAGGATATTTTCTTAGATATAATAAGGAGAAAGTAGGTTAAGGAGGTATAGACAGTATGGCTCTAATTGTTAGCTCGGGGTTGCTAGTTTATGGATGATTTTCATTTTCTCATTTATACTTTGTAGTATTTTCTACAATGAATCTATGTTTATTCGGAAAAAGTACATAGAATTAAACTGACACACACTTTGAAGAGCTGTCATGCGAAAGCAGCAGCCTTATGGTCCATTTCGATTTGACATAATGAAGAACTTTCTAAGAGTCAGAGGTGATTTGTAGAGAAACAAACAGGCTTCCTCCAGAAGTTAGATGCTCTGTTCCAGGAATTTTATAAAAAGTCTCCATATGCTGGGTGATTTATTGGACTGGATGGTATTTAAATTTCCTTTTATGATCTCTGAGCCATTTATTACAACCAGCTCAACTTGCTATGAAGAACCTAGCTGTCTGGTTTTTAAACACAGTGCTTACTACTAGAAAATTGCACACACTTAGTATTCACTAGATCCTCAGCTTTCAAACATGGGGACCAAGTTCCATAACTAGAAATACACTTTACAGTATCATGACCTAGTAAACACATACATAGCATCATAAAACACTCTTACCTATTTCCTGTAGTGCTGCGTTTTAATTTTCCAAATGCAGATTGTGACCTACTAAGCTGATTTCACAGTTTAGTTTGCAACCTGCAGTTTGAAAAGCCCTGCGCTGAGGACACTGGCGCTTTGGTATGGTGTCACCCTTGAAGGTCGCCTACTTGCTCAGGCAGCCTTTGGGTGTGGTTGGATGGGTGAGTTGGCCTCATTTATGCTGAATTGTTCTCTGAGCTAAGGATCTGAGATACTGGCAGTTGTCTTTTGTCAGTAATTGGGCTCGGATGAGCCTATAGGCATAGCAATAAGTTCTTCTGTAAAGCTTAAAAAATCCTTAAAAAACCAAGTACTTTGCTAACCTCCTTGCCCTTTGCTCCATGACAACCTGAACATACTCTTTTTACCATAAAAGATCCTCCAAATTGCACTTGAAATAACTGCACTATTGATATGGTATCCGGTATGGCATGTCCATAAATAAATTTAACTGCTTCGTTTAATCTGAAAGGTGTTAATTCTAGAAATTACTTTCCTCTATTGACCAGGCATTCAAAGAGGAGAAGGAGGGCCTACTCCTTTTTGACATCGATGGGTGTTGATAATAGATAAATAATGTTAAAGACCAACCTTCTAATCTTAAAGCCGAGTAAGGGACAGAGGTCAGGAATAGCAGAAGCTGAAGACATTTTACTAAAGATTGTAACCTTAGAAACTTGTGACTGCGTGTGACACTAAAAGTCAAAACAGTCCTTGGAGACTCCACTTCCACTGCAATTTAATGTGAACTTGGGTGAGTTACAAAGTTCTTATGAGTAAAGTAGAGATAATAGTACCCACCTCAGGATTGCTGTGAGGATTAGTGAGGTAATGTATTGAAAAAACCCAGAACAATGTCTGGCGTATAGTAGGTGCTTAGATGAGTTTTCGTCAGCATTAACTTATAAGCAGTGGGGGAAAAAACTTGCATTTTATCATTAGTT